TCCCTTTTTGTGGTTCCCTGTGCTTACTCCCTTTCTATCACACTTCACTCTCTTTCTTACCCTATCTCCTTTATTACCAAAATTCTCACAAGATTCCTTTTCATAGGCTTAGAAAGGCTGATCCCTGCATCCCTGCCTCCTCTCAGACACACTCTCCTTTCTTGGCAGCCTTTTCTTCACTAAACATGTAAAACTCTCTCCCAGGCATTATTGCTTAGTCCCAGAATCTACTCACAATTGCAAACTCCCTTTCCACCAAATTTAGTCATGCTCAAACTCATGTACTTTTTCCTACTGGCTAGGGATAAAAAAAGGTATTAAATACCTTATCCTCTCCTATTTTAATTCCAGAATTCCATAGCCAGGTTAGTTCTTCAGAACTGAAGATTTCCACTCAGATTTTCTTAGCATCTGCTGCCTGGGCTGCCAGCTCCAGATCTGTTAGCCAGAGCCATGGGCCTCTGTCTCCTCCTCAGGGACAGGCACTGACCTGATGCCACAGGAACTCTGCACAGACAGGACTCACCTGTGCTGCTGTTGCATCCAAGCCCTTTGAGGGCCTCATAATCTTTGATGCATATTTCTTGGCCCAAAGACTTCACAAAATAAGTACATCAGAAGAGGCAAAGTAATAAGAAGACTAAACAATGTTCTTGGTTCATGCCAAGAGCCAATAAGATAGCCAGAAGTTGAATTTACCTCTGCTGCTTTGCCCTGCTGTCTTTTCTCAGCCTTCCATCCTATGCCATTCAAACCTTCCCCAGCTCTCACCATGCACCCCTGACCTTTTAACACATATAATGTTTACTGTTTTTCTTAGAAAAACATGTAGCTCCACACTCCGCAAACACAGACAGACTTCTCTGTTTGTTCCTATCCTCTTCCCTACGTCTTATCATTTTCTTCTTCCATATTCCTCCACATTTTTCAGTGCCACCCCAAAATCACTCAGCATTTCTAGACTCCTTTTCTCACCTCCAGGTTTCTTGTACTAACTCTAACACCTAGAAACAGCTCTGCCTAGTGAAGGGAGCTCAGTGTTAGGCCAAAAAGAAAAACATAGCTTGTCCTAATTCTGTGAGCATTGTGACCTCAGTAAAACTGGGCAGCTTGCTGGTAATTGCCTCTAACAAAAAGAGGAAGAGACCAGACTGGAGTCAAAGGAAGAAGTGGAAAAAACTCCTGAAAGTTAGGGAGATTAGGTTTTGAGGTTTTTCCTACTGACTTGGGCAGGGCTGAAAGCAGCAGTATCACCATGTGCAGGAAAAATGTAAGGAAATGCATTGCTGTGTCAATATCAGTCAATGCCAAATGTGCAGGCACCGTGTGCTGAGGTCAGACCAGCACTCCCTGGCAGCAGCAAGATCTCAGAGGGACCTGCCCTTTTCAGCATGGCTTTCTACACCATTTAAATATTCACTCTTATGTACCACAGCACCAACAAGTCTGGTTTGAACCAGCTGTTCTGTAACCTAGAAGCAGTCTGTTGAATATTCGGTGTGCAATATTTTTGTGGTTTTTCTGGACCCACCTCCACTCACTTACTTTACACAGTTACTAGGAAGTGCTCAGTTGCTGAAAAGGTGCCTGAATACCAAAGACCTGGAAATCCAAGGGAGTGATTAAGATAATCCATGACAGTTTCTAACGCACCTTTATTACCTCGGTAATGAATTTTGATTGATCTGATGTAAGCAGGTCATTATGAGTGTTTTTAAATCAATTTACAGCTCAGAAGTGCTTGTGGAGTTGGCACAATGACAGAGCACATCGTGGGACCACGTGAGGCAGCTGTGCCTGATGCACCACATGGCCATGCTGATGTCTCACTACATTTTTGGGTGGTGGCTGCTCCCTGCCAGCAGCCTGCAGGAACAGTCACATAAAATCAGAAATACCTATGTCAATTTTAAATGTGAAAATAATTCTATTTCCACTTTTGTAATGCTGCTAGTTTCAAATTTTGGGTGGATGTTCTGATAAGGCAGGCATTTTAACTGGCTGGGTAATACCAGAATTTGCTTTCCTTGCTGCTTTTCTCTCCTTGATGCTTTGATCTGTACAGAACTAGTTTGTTTCTTTTCAAATAGCAACAGCTAAATGATCACTATGGTTTCTGGCTAATAAAGACCTGAGTCAACCAATTGACTTCATATGTTGTTTCACTTGTCTTTTTTGCATTCTGTCTCTCTCTTTTATCTTTTTCCCATTTGGTTTTTTTGGGGTGTTTTTCTTTGGTTGGTTTTTTTGCGTTTTGGTGTTTTTTTGGTTTAGTTTTTGGGTTTTTTGTTTTTGGGGTTTTCTTTTTGCTTAATTCATGGGTACAAGGTTAATTCCCCTGCTCACTTCCTCTATAGAAAACTTCTTCATCTACATCAATAGATCTGGAAAGATGAGGGGAAACAAAAAGGGAGTCCTGATGCAGTACATAAATCAGGACATTGGCAAACCAGGCAGGATTTGTTTGTTCTTCCTCGTTAGCATTCTTTCCCCATTAGTTCAATAGGGAATTTTAGCTGACTCTTCCTTTTGAGAGGAGGCCCTCAAAGCCTTCTCTGATGCCCAGTGTCACATTACTGTTGTAGCTTTTTCACCTCCACTTATCTAAGCTGGTTTTTAAATGTTTCAAAGGGCTCAGCAACCCTCAAAGTCACACCTTTCACATCTTCACATTCATTTACACCTAAAAGTCATCCTTAAGAAGAAGAGGAAATATTTGGTAGCTCAGAAAAAACTTATATATGTATGAAAGCAGCCTAAGTGCTAAATGGAACCTGGCCATGGGGGAATTGAATGTGTGGAGGCATGCTGCTGCCTACACTAAAGCAAATGCATACTTGCCTTGTTTCTCTTACTTTTTCTGCTTACAGTTATTTTACTTTATTACTATTCCTTACTTACACTCTAGCAGCATCTAAAATCCAGATCAGGATGGAGGCAACTTCTGTGCAAAACTTTTGCAGTCAAAACACTAAACCTACTAGAAAATAACCGGAGGGAAAACATGATGGTCTCTTAAACTTGTTCTGGAGAAGAGCTTTGAGTTTGGGAAAAAAAAAATTATCTTTTTCTGACACAGTAAAATTAGAGGGTTTAATTTTTTTTCCAGAAATAAATGCTTTGAGGCTGGGTTTCAAAATAAATTCATATTTCAGAATAAATTACATAACATCATATGCTATAGTAGCGTGACACAAGATAAAATAAAAGGGCCCAAATTCCTGCACAGTGTTTCAGTTTTATAAAAAAGAACAGTGCTATGCCTAACTTAAAAATAAACTTTGTGTAAATGCCCCTTTTCACTGGGGATTTTGAATTTTCAGGTCTTTAATGCAGATTGTAATAGAATTATAAAATTAAGGTTTTCAGATATAGGGATGTAAAGTTTCTGTGATTTAGGAAGTGGAAAATACTTTGAGCAACATTTATGGGTCAGGAAAAGACTATCACAGAGTTACAAAGGAGTCTGATGTGTTAGAGTTACAAACAGACTGATGTGCTATCTCATGTCTTGTTTGTGGGATTAATATTTTTCTCTGATGCATATATTTGATTGGAAGAATTCCCTGCCCTGGAGATTTCCTAATTATTCAGATATAAAGATTCATCTTAAAAACCAGAGATATTTCTAATGTTCACTCACATCTAAGCAGAGCTTCTCACCAGCCACAGGGAGCACAGCCTCTAGAAATGTTTCACTTTTCAGTAGATAAGAGCGGAAACTCACAGTTATTGTATTTTCTTTTCAATATTTTAATTTCCATGCTGTATTTCAGTGACTTTGGGAGTAACAGTCAGGCCAAAACAAACATAAGCCACAGCTCCTTGTCACTGCTCCCTAATAAAAGGAAATGTATCACTTGCTATTGCTTGGACCTTTTGCAGTGAGATGTAATGAAGTGACATGAAGAGAAAGGGACGTGCAGCTACTGAATTTACACTTGAAAGACTTTATCAAAATGCTCAATTGACATCTCTAACTTCTTTCTAAACAACATGTTTGCTGAGGCCAATGTAGGATGTTCTCTTGACTTCAATGGGTTTTGGTGAGGTTCATCAAAATTATTGCACTGACTGCCTGAGTACCTCCTGTATCTAAATGCTAATAAATACAGAAATCTAATGCTGAATAAATACAGAAAATGGATGATTGCAGTGGCTATGTGAAAACAAAGAGTGTGACACCTGCAAAGATATGAAATTTAAAAGACAGAAGCAAAAAGCAAAAGCCAGGTATGATGTATATTCTTCTTTTTTAAAAATCCTGTATAAGCCTACAAAATGCTGTTGCATTTTAGCTGAATTTAACGAGCAATGTGACCAAAATACTTGTTAATCTGTAACGCTCATTTTGTCTACTCTTAACGGCACCCAGAGTCTAGATCTATTTATCAGTAGACAGAATTATTGATTGGATTTGTTCTGCATTTAACACTAATAAAAGAAAAACCAGCATTTAGAGTTCTTTAGTAAACTATGCAACTATTAATGAGTGAATAAAAGGTAAGAAAAAGGAAAGTGAAAACCTAGCCTAGACACATTAGAAATAAAGACACCTTCCTGTCTAAACAGCTTTTGGCAGATAACACTTCTTGTGCTGCTTCTTGTCTTTGATGTTCCTGCTGCTGCTGTTCTTGACAGTTTGATGACAATTTGTAGTGAATCAAACAGCCCAAAAATAAAAAAAAATTCACTTAATACAATATTTCATTTTACCCAAACCAGGGTTTTTACATTACAATTTGAGAACTTTATAAAAGATTGCTATTCCTTCTACAAAAAACCAGAAAAATATTTCCAAATGAATATTTAATTGAAATTAACATTTTAAAAGATTTTTTTAAAGGGAAAGGCTTATTAAAAAGGTCAGATATAAATGTCTATTTTTTTCAGTATGCTTGTTTTTTCTTATTGAAATTTAAAAAATACCTTCACATATTTTTGATGTCATAAAATGAGCCTCCCCTATTAAAGAAAAAAAAAAATAAAATAGTACATACCTCAGAAAAGTAGTGGAGTGAGTATCAGGTGAGAAAAGTCCTGGTACTGATGGGTGTCTTCATATTCTCACATGTAGCATGGATGTAGAGGCCATCCTTAATTACCTTCATATTCATGGCCCTGTTATTGGGAAGTTTCCTGAAGAAATTTTCAGCTGCCGTTCGTAGGGATTACTTCTTCTCTTCCATCTTCACAGCTGAGGTGCCTGCAGTGGCCAGATAACTGGGGGTGTGTCTGGCAAGCAAGTGGAAACAGGGTCCAGTATGAAAGTCTATCACCATTACTAAGACCTTACATAAAAGTCTTTAAAATTACACAGAAACCCTACAGGATCACAGGACATCCACATGCCAAATGAGGATTCATACAGAGAAACCCAAGCCTTATTTTAAGGGCACATCTCCATGACCTTTAGGTTCTTCCTGTTCCAAATGACCTGAGGTAGCTGGGATGACTCTGGAGGTCAAGGTCATTGCTGCCATGCACTAATGCAGCTAAACCAAGGTCAAGGCTGAATTTAGGACAAGGCAGAAAAACAGAACAAAGGTACAAAGGTGCTCATTTCTATAAGCTTCCCTATTTCCTTCCTTTGGGATGGATGTGCAGTGAATACCTGTACTGTTGTCTCTACTGTGCACTGAATATTCAAATATGAGATTACCTACAGTGGCTAAAATGGCTGTAAGAAATAGGAAACTTGGTACCATATAAAATCAATTTTCCCTTGGATTGTTTCTGAACCTCGGCAATTGCAAATAGGCTCCAGAAAGAATTTTAAATTATCTCCAAATTTTATATGTAGTGTTTTAATAGGTTTTCAAACAATTTGATTAGATGGTAATTTAAAAATAGTTCTTCTATTCTGCTGTGGCTTGGCAAGATTGGAGGCGAGAATTGGCTGCTAAAAGATGGACCTCCACTCTGGAAAAATTTGAAATAAAATGCCAGGAAACAATATGTATACAAACAGCAGAATAATTGCCAGAATTCTGTCATTCTTTCCCTACTGAGCTTGCAGTTTCTTGAAAGAAAGGAGATTATTTTCCCAGCTTATTCTTGGAGTGTATTTCTCAGTGAAGTCACACTCCAGGGTCTACAACCACAGAGATCAATTAGACATGATGGACACTGTTCGGTTTTCGGCTGTTTGAAGGGGCTGGAAAGGCCCGGAGTGGCCTTGGGGCAGCCTGCGTATCAAAGGACGAGAAGAGGCTTCAGTTCTTCTTTCGGTCTTTATGTTTATTAATTGTTTATCTAAAAGATTTTCTTTCGGCCCGACAGAGGTCTGCTCAGCAGTCAGCCATGAGCACACTGTGTAGCCCTCCGGACAGTCACCTATCTTTATACCCATGGTTACGTGTACAATATTTATCATTTTTCCCCAATCCTTTTTATTTTTATTGTCCGGTGCACTTTCAGTAATGACCAATCCAAAAGTGCCACCATCACCAAAGAAGATGGAGGAGAAGAAGAAGAAGAAGAAGAAGAAGGACAGGACACGCCCCAATTCCTCCATCTTACTTCTCTAAACCCCCCTGTACATAAATCCTAAACCCTGTGTCTCACCCTCTAATTAACTAATCCCTTCACCATTCACCCCGGTGAAGTCCTCCTATCCTCATACAGGTGTCGTCTCCCGTGTAGGATCAAAGTCCAGCCACAGACACTTCTGGCAACATTCCAGGACTCCCGAGCCCCCCAAGGGTGGTCTCGGTGGCTCGGCACCTCAGTCCTGGGGTGCTGAGATCCCACAGGACACCATAAGCCAAATCTCTCATCCTGCAGTAAAAAAACGCTTGGGAGATAGAGAAGGTGTAAAATATTAAATGGAAAGTGAGAAAAATAAATGGTCAAGGAGTAATTTCTTTTAATAATGCAGAAGCTGCTTTCACAATTCCACATAAAGGAGAAAAATGCTTTGGAGTGGGGGAAGCCTGTTTTCTCCTGAAATCTTCAATGGAAGGCAGTGTGTATTTGTTTACACCAGAGGATGTGCCATAGGCTCTTACCAGCAACACTACAACAAGATTCAGAATTTCTCTTTGAGGAAAAGATTTATCTAAAACATTCTATGTCTATCTCATAAGAAACTTCTATTGTGGATTGTTTCATGTGTATCATGCATAAAACAATAATCTCCCTTCTTATGTTGTGTCCTTGGGAAAAGCAACCCTGATCTCTCCCCTTTTTCCAAACATGCCAGATAAAAACTTGAGAAAATTCAGATCTCCAGTGCCCACTTTTCCCAGCTTAGCAAACTCCTCTCCCTCACAGCTATCCTGCCCTCCATTCCTCTCTAGCCAGAACGGAACTGAGGCTTTCTGGAGGCTATGGCACTCATTTCAAGTCAGCTGAGGAAAGAAATATCTTTCAGACTGGGGAAAGAAGATGTGGCAAAAGCTGAGGTGTCTGGCCCAGCCCAGGAATTTATGCAGAAGCTCTGCATCAAACCAGCCATGCCAGCCAGTAGGGAAGGTATTTAGACAAACACAAGATGGTTCCTTCTGGAAAAAATAACATGTTAAGATTTTATGAAGAACAGTTTCTCTTTCCTAGAATTCTCTTCCTTTCTTTATTTTTTTTTTCTCTTTTCATTTCCCACATGCTGCTGGCAGCTGAACTCCCCTAAGCCTTTTGGAGATGGATAGCTACTCACCTTAACCACTCACGGCTTCAGGGAATTTGCTCAGGGAAATACCTGGGCTCACCTCAGTGTAAACTGAATCAACATCAGATAAATAAGTTTGCTGCATCTTTCTTAGGGTTTACCTTTGGAGGCTGGTATACTGGGAGGAATAAATTAAAATGAAACATTTAATATTCTCTAAAAAGTCGCTTGATCACTGTTTCCACCTTAGTGCCTTATTAAAGGAAGGTTGCTTCTGCTCATCAGCATCAAGAAGCAGTGCACACTTCAACAGTAGTGCTCAGAAATCTCAGGGAAGTGGATAAATTTACAGGGAGAAAATGCCAAGGGAAAGTGGTCAATTCATAACACTGGCATTCAGTGTTAGTTGGTTTAATTAACTGAATGTTCAATTACCAAAACGCTTTGCCTTCTATGCTAATGCTGTTTCAAATAATAGGTAAAAAAACCCAACAAAACAAATAGTCCATCTGAGGCTAGGAAACAAACAGAGAATAAAAATTTTGGATAGGAGATGGGAAAAAATCAGATCTTTGTTAAGGAAATACTTCACCAAATAACAGTCAGTTTCCCATAAGATTATTCACAGGAAGAATGGAGTGGCAGTTCAAATGTACACATTGTTTTTCATCACTGGTTTAGATAAACATTGTGCTGTCATTAAACCACAATGGACTTTATCTGAGGGCTGTCTCTATGTTAAATTCTAGCAAATCTCTGTATTTGTCTGCCCAGTGTTAAAAGGAGATTCCTGACTTTCAACTCTAACATCAGGCAGTCCTCCTTAGCATTTTAAAACAATACCCATTTTTATTTTTCTTCATAATATTTAAGCAGGTTGAATAATTTAACAAAGAGCATAATCCTCTAAATTCACTGAAATTAGATTTTTGCAAAGACAAACCCTGAAGAGGTTTCAAAACTGTGTCACAAACCACATGGGCATTAAAACCAGGCTATGGCCATCAAGTACAGCAGTGATGTGGCTGCCAAGGCACCTCACCTGTGGTTCACTGAATCACAGACAAGCCCCAGCAGGAGCCTCAGTGAAACCTGACCCCAAAGTGGTGGGACCTGTGTAAGATTTGGCCTGAGGAGTGAAGCTGCAGAGATGCTAAAGCACTCTGCCAGCCCCAGAGATCAGCACTCACTCTGTAGAAACTCCCAGGGCCATTCGCTGAGCTGTGCTGAGGCTTTTGGTGCTGGTACAAGCCAGGTTTAACCACCAACATCACTGTCACCAACTTGAATTGTGGTCAGGAGCTCCACCAAAATGCTGCACTGAATGAGTTCCTCTGAGTTCATATTCTGGCAGTTAATAAAATTATTAAAGGTACTGCCTGGACATACATAATTTCCCAATCATGACACAAGCACAAAAGAAAAACAAACAACCAAAAACCACCACCAAAAAAAAAAAAAACCCAACAACCAAAAAACCAACAAAAAATACCCCCACCAAAACTAACCCTCTTCCCCCAGCCTACTTAACCAGACTGTATAATGACATGCATTCCAGCATAGTTCTGCAAATCTGTTACGCAAGAACCATGTTCCCAAAAACAGCCTCAGGCTATAGCGGTGCTGAAAATATGCTGTTGACTTTTTTATTAAAAAAAAAATAAAATAAAACTCAGGGAAAAAACCTTATTTTTGTAAAAAAAAAAAAAGTCCAGGTTTTCATTTATACAGGAATGACTTTGTTGTGTGGTATGTCCTTCAATAAAATTATAGCTTAGGTCCACAAGTGTGTGCATGTTTTGAGGTCTTTTATTGAATCTTATCCTTTCTTTATTTTAAAGGTATTCAATATTTTTAACAACTAGGAATGTAAATTATAGTCATACACACTCATGTACATTGCCTACCTAATTTTACAACTCCTGTTAAATGTTTTAATTACACACAATGGGTTATAAATAATAAGATAGAAATGCATCTAAATATTTTTGCAGCAACACCAGAAGCTATAAAACTCAGCATATGAAAGGTCTTCACTGAAAAATAGGTTTCAAAATTTACAAATTAAAAGTCTTTGCACATTCAAACCCTTAGGTAACATTGTATTTTTTCTCAACTTTTAATCCACTTTGCACCACATTAACAGAATTTTAAAAGGTCCATGGTTTAAAGTCCTAGCTGTTATGCTACTCTGCTCACATATTAAAAAATACGGTAGAAAGCTATTTCTTTTACCTAATTATGAAGAGAATTAAATTATTGTACTTCCTCGTAATAACTCAGAACTTCCCCAAATGCACATATTTTCATTACTTGCTTGCACATTATTTATTTCTATTCTTGTGACCTTATTTTTAATAAATACATTCTAAACTTCTTCAAGAGTATGGAAAGAATATTTAATACAAAGCAAAGTAATTATACTCTGAAGGTTCTGAAATATAACTGAAGTGTATCCCTGGGGCTATTTCCTGATAATTAGGTATGGCATAAATAATCATGATTAATTATGTTTCTGGATAGTCATCTGCCTCCAATGAAATATTGTTATCCTTGATAATGCTCAATATAAAAAAAACCCCCACAACTAAGTGTGTTTAAATAGAATATTTTCCTGAAACTCATG